TTTTTGTCTCTTTTTCAAAGTCAATTTACACATTGATTGTCTCATTCTTTAACATATATTTAAATTGAATTGTAGGAAGGTGCCTCAAAGTATTCATGAAAGAAAGGAATTAATTGATAATACAAATCTCTCCGTGAATTTTTTGAAGACCCCTTGTATGTACAGAAACATTACATTTAAAGTAGGTACTCATTTAATTCGTTCTTTAAGGCAAAGAAACTGCCAGTAGGTATCCTCCTTCACTGATTTTATTGGTAGTTTCCACACCTTATGTTTGTTCTTCGTGTCTAGTTCTTTATGCCTAACCTAACGGATTCGTGATTCTTTGAATCCCTTAAAATTGAATTAAAAGTACTGTGCATATGAGNCTAACGGATTCGTGATTCTTTGAATCCCTTAAAATTGAATTAAAAGTACTGTGCATATGAGAGAGAAAGGGGGCTCACTGAGCTCATCAAAAGGCCCAAATCATTATCCAAGTTCCTTTAGACTTTCTTGGGTGCAAAATTCTTCTCTTCCTCTGTATAATTACCAAAAGGAGAAAATTAATAAATGAAAAGAAAATGCTATTGCTTCTGTTTCTCATGCCTTAAGTCTTGACATATATTTTTTGAAGAAAGGGGGAAAAAGACACTGGAATTGTCTTATCATTTGGAGCCATAAACATATGTGAATAGATGTTTTCTCATCATTCTTGTTGAAGGGAAGGAGAATCCTGAATTTTTTCATTTTTTAGGCAAAAACTACTAGTCTAGTGATCATACAAAATTGCCATTACACAGTTTGTCTTTTGCTGCATTCGCCTTAGGAAGTGATTCAATAAATGGTTTCTTTACAAATTACTGAAAGAGGTTTGTTATAATGCCACTTACTTTTTGCTTTTTAGTAGTAATCATTTGTTCCATGTTTTGTGTTCTTTCCCCCAAATTATCACATTGAGTTAAATAACACTTAAAATAAAAAGTTTAAGACTGCTTTAAAATTGCATAATTTCTTGATGGAAGATTGAAATGAGAAATTTGCTTTTCACTGTACATTCATTTGAATTTTCCAAATGCCATAATTTGTGCGTGTATTATGTATTCACATAGAAAATTTAACATTTTTGAAATAGCAGAGAAGTTTAAACAATCACAAAAATAAGAATTTTTAAAACCTTAATCCTGTTAAAATTTAGCAATATTAGGTGAGAAAATCTATTATCTATTGCCTAACTTAAATTATTTTTATAACAAAAAAAATTAAAAGAAACCTTTCTCCAGAAGTTTTATATATTCACCCAATATAATTATGTAATATATATATCTATATATATAATATAGCTATAAAAATAAGAAGAATAGAAATGTGTTTACAAAGAAGTTTGCACATCATAATTACTTCAGAAAAATAATAGTTAAAATATATAAAATATTAAAGTACCATAAAAAAGAAATTGTAATTTACATACATATAAAGAGAGTGCAAAATTCTCCCGGGAATAAGAGTAAATTAAGTTGAAATTAAGCAGAAAAAAGTCAGTTGATTTTTAATACACTTACAGAAATTTTGTTTCACTTCATTTAAAACTCAAATATCTACAAAAGGTAACTGCTTTTGAAATGTGAATGCAAGAAATAGAGAAACCTAAGTTCATAATTAGAAGAGAGTAGTGTTTTCTTTATTGGCCATCTATAATCAAGTGTTACAGATCTCACTGGCTGTAGTAACGGCTTAAGAATCTGAGGGCCGCTGTTCAACTCTAAGAAAAACTCATTCAGTGCCTTATCAGGATTTATACATCTGCAACTACGCAAAGCCCTGCAGATTTCACAAACCGGCTCCCGGGTTGCAACAAAACTCAGCCTCTTAACTTGGGACGTTTCGACTTTCTCCTAAGGAAAAAAGAACACCATCCTTGGCAGGAGGAAAAAAAGAGCCTAACGAGTGAGCGTACATAGGGAGCTTTCTGAAAAGTATCATAGCGGAGCAGCAATGGCAGCTTCAACCAAATGCCAGCACTGCAGAAGGTTGGTCCTGCTGTGCACTCTCCTGGGAACGCTGTGGGAGGCCAGGTCCAGTCAGATCCGCTATTCAGTGCCTGAAGAGACAGAAAAGGGGTATATCCTGGGAAACATCTCTAGAGATCTGGGACTGGAGGCCCGCGAGCTGGCGGAACGCGGAGTCCGCATCATTTCCAGAAGTAGGACGCACCTTTTCTCCCTGAATCCGCAACGCGGCAGCTTGGTCACAGCGGGCAGAATAGACCGGGAGGAGCTCTGCGCTGAGACCGTGCGCTGTCTATTGAACTTTAAAGTCCTGATTGAAGACAGAGTGAAACTTTACAGAATAG